AGTCCTATATTTTGTGATCTTTTAATTTATTTTTACTTTTTTTTATCTGTGAACCCAATTAAGCTTCACGAACTTGGCCTATTACAAACCGGAAATTCATCCTGTTTAACATTCTGTCGCACAGTTTACCTAGCAGGGAAGTAAAACTAAAGTCTACATGTCCTAGTAAGATATAGTGCCGAAAGTTGGACAAAAGAGATCCTTTGGAATAAAGTAATGGCCCCTCCCTGCCTAATCACTTTTCTTTTTGGCCTAATTCTGCCTAGTGGCTACCTTAGTACTGTATTAACTATGAGTGTTAAGTTACCTGAGGAACTTTAGAATTTCGAGTGAGACCAAAGGTACATGGACCATGCTATTTTAATAGGGTTTAATCAGATGTACGGCATAGATTAAGAAATTCATGATTATGCTTTACGTAACCATCCAAACTAAAACGTGGAAAAACCTTGCAGTAAGAAGTCTTTGGAACTCATTGAAACTCCTTCCCTAATTTCAATCCCCTCTTCCGTTTCCCATAAGCCAGACGGCTGGGTTGGTAAAAAGCATTTTGCCACAATTTCAACCTTAATTATCTAATTGATGGGACATCGACAATCTTGCACTTCTTTCCGTTGCTGCTTAAATAACCTATCTGCACAACCGTCAATCCCTATTTCAACCTACCTAGGATTGTATTCAGGAACAAATCATAAACTTTCTTCAGAGGCAACAAACAATTACCTATAGATAAAATTCTTAGTCAAGGACGGACTAAGTTTTCTTAATACAAGTGGGGAAGGTTGTTAGGTAAAATTCATTGTTTAATGTTAACAGTATCCAATCACAGTTTCGCATGCTCCACTAGGTGATGCAACCAAAATTCTAACAAGGTACACAGATCATATCCTTAGCCACGGTAGCACAATCCCAAACCGAGCTGAGACTTGTTCTTCACACAATTACCGCAGCCACATGGATAAGGTAACCTACTGTGAAATATTCTGAACCCTGAACAAACTAAACTGAAGCTATCTGCTTACATCACCAAAGAAAAAGCAGCAAAGTTGTATGACATTGAATCACCAACTTCGGCAAGACAATGATATTTACACAAGTTTTTAATTCAAAACCGCAAGAAGACAAAATAATAAAACTGTGGGGTTATAATATACATTCATCTTAATGGATAGAAATTAAGTGAAATCTGTGTGGTGTACATTCTCAAATAATGAGGTAAGCAAAAAGTCAAGGGAACTAGTAGTGCTGTTTCCAGCCATCTTTGATTACAGTGTTTCTGCTTCTAAACTCGAGAGAACGGATACTGAAATACAAATTTCCCTCTTCATAGTTGTACAATTGGGAGATAAGAAGTTTCTCTCAAAGTGGAACCTTTGCTGGAGTTCCTGGATCTCGAGGATATTTCTTGGGGGTAGATTTATCTTTCAAACAAATTATGGCAGTTCTCTGTCCATGTTTACTGTGGGAATCAACTGTATTACAAAATAAACAACCAAATGAATGAAGTGAAGGCCAGAAATGAGAGGACACTTTAAAATGTAACAACCATCGAGACCTCCTCAAAGCAAGTTAACTAGGTTATCAAGTGTAAGAGCAGGGCCAAAGATACTGTGGCAAAACAGCAAGATATCTGGTGCCTTCACTTTCAAAGTTACAATTAAGAAGATGTGGTACTGCTTATAATTGATCCTTCAGGCTGAGGAAAGCCTGGACTTTGAATAATTCCCAGAAACAGAAATATGTGGATCTGGAAACCCAAAGATTACAGGAAGTCAGAAATAATTCACCTTCTTTCAACATATTTTCATCTGCCATTATCTAGGTCTTATAATTCTTTTAAGAAGTTTGTTTTATCACATATAATTACATGAAAATTCATAAATCTTCGAACCAGTTTGAACTACGGCCACATCCTTATGTAACTACAATGTAAAGGCATGTGAAAGAGAACAATACCATAATAAATTTGCAATAGAGAGGCTCCCATCAGTTGTATTGCTCTCTCTGCACTTTGTACTTCCTCCTGTCAATGAGTTCGAAAGTTGAGAGTGGCTATTGCAAATATATGTCAATAGTTTCTCTTCTTAAATCTTATGCAAATCATCTGACATCCTACAAACTCATATTGGGTTACTTTTCTTCAATGATACTCGTATAGCATTTCAGTGGTTTGCCACTGCAGATCCACTCTAGGTTTTAAGAAGAAGAAATAACATGTTTTATCCCTCTAGTGGAGTGTTATACGTTTTGGTAGATCGACCATTTATTCTTGCGCATTTGGTCTCCAAAGTTATAGGCATTAGGCAAACTTCATCCTTTTAATTTTTTGGGGGGGCTAAAACTGGACTTTAAGATAAGTGAAATACAGTGTGTATTGAAAATTTTGTTCATCATATAATGCATGATATGATATACCACTATAATCATTCAAAACTTGAATGAAATCCCACAAGTAAATTGTATAAAACCCGTGATATACCTCGACCTAATAGCTAGATACATCCATTTGATTTGTAAATTAACCAAAATAATCGACAGGTTCGACATATTAGGAATGGATGTTTCCTGATGGACTTAAAGGTCTCTAAATTTCTGGACTTGCCAGCAGAAGTGTGTTGTGTTAGGGACCAACACCAGTTGAACTCTAATGAATATAGACTCTGATATTTGACATGCACACAAAGAACACCAATTAGTAGAATAAGAAAGAAAGATGGAAACGACAGGAGCACCCACAAGACAGAATGTATTTGACAAAAGCAGAATATGTGCCAAAAAAGTACTCTTTTACCTAGGATTCTCCAAATAAAGCCAAATTCTTTATACCGCAATTCGTCATGTCTACCCTCGGAAACCTCTCTCTACGACTTTAGAAGCGGAGCTACGATAATCTTACGACTCAGAACTGACAAGTGAAGGTAATTGCTTTCCACTTTAAGTAAAGCTTTGAGTAGTGGAGTAAAAACAACACATTATTTAACTACAGTAGAAAGGCTAAGACTTCTGTTCATCTTCTCAGACAAAGTAGCTTAAAATACTATTATGAATCACAAGAGAGGCAGACCTGAGGATCATGACCTTTTGCAGCTACAAAGATACCACCAGTTCGGACTAGAGGAAGGCAATACTCAGCTGCAAAATGACAGAAACAAATAACCATCTCAAGGAATATTTAAAGAACATAAAACAGAGGAAGAAACAAAATTTGTCTCTGTTTACCTAAAATTCTCATTTCTGCAACTGCTCTGGCAACTGCAACATCAAAAGACTCTCTGAAGCTGACGTCTTGCCCTAACTTCTGTCCTATTCCAATGTTCAGAATGTGCATCATGTCCACAAATCAAGTGAATAGCTACAAAATGTACTACCAGAAAAAAATCTAAAAGATGATACTAATATATACAACGGGTATCAAATGGCAGAAACTTTAATTTGTTATGCATCACAGAGTAAAACACCAAATAAGGGCATGCATAACCAGCAAAAAGAGCAAGATTGTAAAACTTCCCTCCAGAGATATTGATATAATAAGTATTGTACATAAGGAGATAAAAACATCGGAAGTTCTCACTAGACAATGGAACATATACAACTGCACAAAAGAATGAACTATGGAGTGATTATTTTGGCATAAGGAGGCACGCAGATAATCTTCAACTATACCACAATTCAGCCTATAATACTGTGCCTAACCTAATTTGAGGAGAGATGTTATCAATTTAGTTCATGTGAGATCCCAGCTCCTTAAGAGCAGGAATAGAAAAATCAATTTGGTAAACTTGATGTTCACCGGAAGAATAGTCCCACAAGTGGGGTATGGGGAAGGTAGGATATACGCAGCCTTATCCCTACCATATATAAGTTCTCTAAAATTTAACCACTCAGATAAGCCATGGTAATAAGGAAGTTAAGTGAGAGATCACTAGCTCCTACTGAGTTGGACAAGAGAAACAATCAGGGAAATTAGGAAATGCTCAAATTTGCCTAAAGATAATATACCTGTACTTGTTTAAAACATATTTTTAAAGAGAAACTAGAGGTTGGGGTTGAAAAACGTAAAAATTAAACCAAGCCCATGGAACATAACTCTCATCTGGTTTCAGGAAAACAAAATAAATGTGACCTTGATGTTCACTGGAAGAACAATGCCACTTTATATTCAATATGGACCAAAACACCTTACACATATTGACTAAAAAGGAAGAGAATATTTTTGACTAAAAGAATAATAAAAAATACATGTAAACTGATGACTCGAGTTTGACTAACCTCAGCTCTTTCTCTTTTAACTTGAACATTTGATAGACCTATCTGACTAACCACATGCTCCAGGAAGGAACAACGCTTATTCATAGACTCCAGAAGGGTCACTCTCCAACCTGCACAGACAACTTCACTGAGCTACCATACTAAAGGCAAACCTTAACATTTGTAGAGACTATGAGCCTGTTTGGATTGGCTTTTAAAAGCTGGTTTGACCAGCTTTTAAGCCATTTTTAGATGTTGGGAGTGTTTGGCAAAAAAGAAAACAGCTTCAAAAAAGCCAAAAGCCACAAGTTGGCTGATCCCAACTTTTTTTTTTCAACTTAAAAGCCAACTATCTTTGACAAAGTATTTTACCCTCTTATCCCTAATAATATTTATTATTCCAAAAATGTCCTCCACAAACTCTTGAAATAATTATAATATCCAACTCAAACTTTTAAAATTTGTGAGAACGGTGAAATTACTTTGAAGTTTAGTTTTGCTTTGAAAGGTGAATACGACATTTACCTAATGAAGTTTAGCTTTGCTTTGTAATTTCTAATTAACTATACGTACAATTTTCAAATAATTTTAAAAAGTAAAAGTTTATTTTATTTTGATTTCCTAAATATTAGGAATTTTTACATAGTTCAAATAAGGAATAAAATAATAAAATGTGATAGTCATTTCATATGTTTTCCCAGTAAGCTTGGAATTTCAAGAAAAAAACAATTTACATGGTTGAAAGAAGTGAAAAATAAGAGTTCAACAATTATATTTATAAAAATTATCTTAGGTGATCAATTCAAATATTAATTATTTCGTATTTAGATTAATAAGTTTGAAATAAAATATTATAGTAATAAGCTTTTTTATAGTGTTAACAGCTTTAAGGATATTTCAGTCATTTTAACAGAAAAAGTGCTTACCAGCACTTGTTTACCAAACATTTCAACAGCTTTTTTTCATCTCCAGCACTTTTATCCAAAAACATAACTGTTTATTTATAAAACCAGCCCCAGCACTTAAAAAGTGCTTTTAAGCACTTGTGCTTAAAAACTACTTTTTTTAAGTCAATCCAAACAGGCTCTATGTTGTAAGAAATTCACCATCTCTTTCTAGAGATTTCTAGTGTGGCCCACATATAAGGTAATAAATTATTTACCTTATCTCCCAAAGGAAATAATATATCAGATAATATTCTGTAGTTATGCATATATGGTAGGTTCTTTGATGGAAAGAAATTACCATATATTAGGAGTCCCAAGGGTAATTATAATTTATGGAGAAGTCCCTAGGACTAAAGTATTTGCCTAAGAGTCCCTAGTCTACCTATAAATACACCTGTGACTCCATCAGTCTGGCATCTTATGATAGGCACAGGCTAGAAGACTCTCTAGGTTATCTACTAAAGGTTTCAAAGGCAATTCCCCACATCACTTGAACAACCATGGCTGAAGGTACGTTCCTTGTTTAATTTCCGCTGCATCGGCTCTGTGTTTGTAATCGAATTACAACATGTGGTATCAGAGCCAACCTTTAGCTGTGTGTTCAGTGTCTAGTTTTGTTAATGGTGGTTAAAAATATAAGTACCATCCTATATTGTCAGGTTTCTGCAACAATTAATTCGGAACATGGAACCAAACTTTTATCGATAGATTAATCTTTAGTTTTGGTTCCGATTATATTGTTGTTAACTGCCTTATGTATGAACTTTGTGCATTCGTATGACAATTAGATATCAATTAATATAATATGAACAGAAAGAGTTGCTAAACCCTCATAATCAATACTGGAAGTAACTATTGTTGTCTTTTAACTGATGTTGCCTTATTTCCTTTCATTTGGATCATTGGGAGCAAACCCCAAGGCTCAAGTCAATTGCCACCAGGCCAACTTGTGTTAACTTGAGACCTTGAAAGGGAGCAAACCCCAAGGCTCAAGAAATTTAGAGACCTTTAAGTCCATCAGGAGACATCCATTCCTAATATGTCGAACCTGTCGATTATTTTGATTAATTTACAAATCAAATGGATGTATCTAGCTATTAGGTTGAGGTATATCACGGGTTTTATACAATTTAGGGATTTCTTGCCTAATTATACCATTCAAGATTTCTTGCAATACACATAAGGATAAATGGTCAATCAATGAACTTTTGACCATGTGTGTTCAAAAAGAAGAGAGGTTGAAGCATGAGACACCTGAAAGTGTTAATATGGTGACTCATGGTAAGAGAAATGCAAAGAAGGGCAAAAGTGTTCCCATGAAGAAGAAAAGCACCTTTGACAAAGATGCTTGTCATTTCTGTAAGAAGAAGGGACACTAGAAGAAGGATTGCCTGAAATACAAGAAATGGCTTGAGAAGAAAGGTAATTTTACCTTTGTATGTTATTAATCTAATTTTACTGAAGTTTCTAATAATACATGATGGATTGATTCTGGTGCTACAATTCACATTGCCAAAATCATGCAGGGCTTTCTAACTCAGAGGAAGCCGATAGGAAGTGAACAATACGTCTATTCTAGCAATAGGATGCGTTCACATGTAGAAGGCGTGGAGACTTACAGGCTCATTTTGAAGGATGGTTATCACTTAGATTTAGAAAATACTTTTTATGTTCCAGAATATTCTAGAAATTTAATTTCTATCGATTAGTGGATATGATTTGAATTTTCATTATCCTTCTGTGAAACTTTTGAAAGATAATAAAGTTATTGGTTTTGAAAATTTGAATGGAAATTTATATAAACTTGAGCTAGACACCACATTTGAATGCAATGTATTAACTTTGCATGATAAAGAAATTGGCACTAAGCTATGTATTATCAATGAGAACTCATCAAGTCTTTGGCACAAGAGATTAGGACACATCTCTATTGATACAATCAAAAGGTTGGTTAATGATGAAGTTCTAAAAAGCTCTTAATTTTCTGACTTTGGGACTTGTGTGGACTGCATAAAGGGTAAGCAGACCAACAAATCAACTAAAGATGCTAAAAGGAGTTCTCAATTACTTGAGATCATACGTACAGACATAAGTGGACCTTTTCCTACCCATTACTTGAATGGTGAGAGATATTTCATCTCGTTTATTAATGACTATTCAAGATATATGTATCTCTATTTTCTGTTTAACAAATCAGAAGCACTTGATACTTTTAAAGTTTACAAAACAGAAGTAGAGAAACAAACTGGTACTCAGATCAAAATTGTAAGATCTGATAGGGGTGGAGAATATTATGGTAAGTGTTACAACCCATATCCACATGTGTTAGTTCATGCCATATATTAGTTAACATAAATCCAAGAAGGAATTATCTTTGAGATGATAAGAAGTCAATCCTATTGGTCTTAAGTGATACAAGAGTGTATAAGGGTGATTAACCAGTATTAGAAGTTAAACGAATCAAGGATGTTGTAACTCG